GAGAAGTCATGAGAATGCTTATAAGAAGCTCAGTAGCAGTCAGACATTGTTTATAAAGATATTAAAATTAAAAAAAATTTTATTCTTGAGAAGTTCTTGAATTAATATGCAGATATTATTAGAAACACTCTCTCTCTATTATCTAAGTGAAAACACTTTACAGATGAATGAGAATACTCACAGTTTATAAGAATAAAATCTGTTATAGAAAAAGAGAAAAGAAGATAAGATTTCACAGACAGATCTGAGATATTTATACTACTTTAAAGAGATTTATTTACACTGTGAATGATCTCATAGAACAGTCAGATCACTCTAGTAAATAAGAGTAATTATGAATTACAGGCCTGAATCTTTCTATATAACTATAAAGAGTGATTGCAGACTGTGAACATCTTGATTCTATAATTCTATAGAGTTAGTGAAAGAATGAAAAATTCCTTATAATTCTACAGTGTTAAAGAACAATGATTTATAAGAATAAGTGAAAGATTAACTCATGAATACTTCTCTTTAATAAGAATAATCTTACAGAGAGTAATTCATCTATGAGATGAATCTATATAATAATCACATAAGAATCTTATGAAAATAATTGAGAGTTAATCAGAACTCTTCTATATAAAAGATGTGAGATGAATCTATATAATAATCAGAGAAGAATCTGTAGATTATAAAGAATCTTACAGAATAAGAAACTGAGTGACAGACTCTTTTCTCTTTATAATAACAAGGGATTTTTCCTCACTGAGGTTTTTTATAAATATGAAGAGTTTTTAGTGAGTATCACTGCAGTGCTGACTCTCTGAGCTAATTCTATGAAGTCACTCAGTGAAAGGCTTTGTGAATGAAGTCTTAGAGAGAGAGAAATATATAAGAAATCTCACTTCTTATGAATTCTTTATCTCTATTTCTATCTCTCATATAATCAATAGAGCTAGCGGCTCTTGGCTACACACAACTATATAGACTGGAGTTTGTGAATACTATTTATAACTCAGCTTGAATGCTATTATATATTTAATCTCTATATTTTATCTTTCTATCATGAATACTTCTAGTAGTTAACAGTACATATCACGCCAAGCTGCAAACACCTGAATAATCGCCTGCGAGCACTTATTCTTACACTGTCAGATAATAATGCGGCTGCTTCTGAACTAGTGTACAAGTGTAAAGAGGGCCATAGTGGCCACTAATTAATTTAGTGTACGATATTACAATATATAAGAAGCCGGCGTACGCCTGTAATTGTACACTGACTTAAGCAACCTTTGAATCACATCTCATAGAAGAAGCAGTGAGGCATTTCATGAGTCAGTTACAGACAAGACATTATAGAATAACATTATATCATTTACAAATGAACAGAAAGATGAAATGCTTGAATGAAATCTTGAACAATATGCTGATGAAATATCTAGTGAGCAAGTCTATAAGACTATGAAATGAATATCTCAGGCAGGTACTACTGATCACACGGATTTAACAGCATGCAGTCTCTAAGCATTCACTATTCTATCTGTTGTATGAATTGCATCCGCGCATCTCAGAGAATGCTTTGAAAAAGATGAGAGAGAAAACAGTAGTTGCAAATATAACAGTCACAGACACAGTAGTCACAGACACAGAATCAAGATTGAAAGAGATCAGCCATGCACATACAAAAGCTAACAAGTTACTTCTGAACTGAGTAATTCAATTGAAAAGAATACAAGACTCACTAGTTAAGAAATCAAGTCTCAAGATGAGAATATAAGTTCTTATATATAATGAGAGTTCTGAGAAGTTTCAACCTAGATGATTTAGATCATATAAAATACTTAAATCACATTCTCTGAAAACATACACATTGAAAGAATCAGAGAGATGAGTCTTACACAACTTAATAAATAATTCATAACTTATAGAAGTAAAGATATAAGATCTAAACAAATTATGATTATTCATAGCACTATTATCAGTATTGAAAAAGAAGAAGCTTACAATTGAAAAGTCTTATAAAATAAAAGAAATCATAGATACTTATAAATCAGATAATCTCACTTATTCTGATCTTTTCACAATTATAAGAAAAGAATGAGAAGTAATGAAGAAATCAGGTGAATATCACACTTTAATAAGTAATAAGACTGTAGCTAATTATATGATAACACATCACAGACAGTAGATATAATACAGTAAAGAGCAGTCTTAAAGCAGTAGACTTATACATGAATCAGATTATAGAAGAAAAAGAAATTCAGAGTTAAATTCAACTGTTTACATCAGTTCAATCACAGAGATCACAGAGAATGAACTATCTGAAACATTTACAGATGTATAAGATCAAGTTATCTTAATCTCTGAGAACACTCAGAGATCAGACAAGGTTAGTTTCAATGAGCTGTTCACTATAGTAATCTGAGTGAGTGAAGAGAGACAGTATAATGCATAAGACAGAATTATAAAAGATGAAAGCTGCTGAACCTAGTCACTAAACACTGTATTATATAGAGATCATGTAAGAGTAGTGACTAGCAGATAAAGAAAAAGTATAAGAAAAGAAAAGAGATAATGAATTAATCATTAACTGTAAGAGTTAACTGTAAAAGACAAATGTTATTATACACACTTCATTCATTTTTATATACTACATGTTTAATCTATTTCCAATGCCATGTCACTTAAAAAATGTCAAAAACAAAGAAAATCTCAAAACTCAAGATCTGTAAGAGATTTAAGAGCTGTAAGTTACTCTTGTAATAACACTGTACATGTCTCTGATTTCTCTATCACTCTGTATATAATATTAATGTAATTTATCACAAGATTGACTGAAATGTCAATATAGAAATGTGCATGTGTATGCATAGAGAAATTGAAAAAGAGTGCAGAACTCACAGAATCAGAAGTCAGAGCAGAGAGAGTGAAGATGAAAGAAACAGAAATAAAAGAGAGAGACATAGAACTGAATAAATAACAGAAGCTATCTAAGACTGAATGCTTATAATCTGATGTGCATACAATCTTTCTCATAGAGAAGAGAGAGAAAGTGATGAAAGAAGCTTAGAGACAGAAGAAGATAGTCTCAGCAGTGTTATTATCTTCAATTAAAATGACCTCTGATGCCAGAGTAACTAAGAACTATTATTAGTATATGAAACTGCAAAAGCAGAGAGAACAGTTACTGAATAAACACTCACTGATCTTAGAGTTGTATGTACAATTACAACATACATGAGGCTTCTCAGAAAGAGAGAGAGAGACACAGAGAAATGCAGAAAACAGAATACAGTATATGAACAGCTCATTCTCACAATAACATCTCAGACAAGGTGTATAAGTCTCATATTTATAAGTATAAAAGAGTATGACATTCATGTTTCTGTTTCTGAAAACACAGATATTCTTCACCTGCATTACAAAGTTAGATAATAAACATCAAAGAATAGACTGATACAGATTGATTATTCTGAAGATATTTATCAGAGCAGATATATCTGTAATATTGAATTTAACAGTTATGAAAAGTTTCTTAATATCTGTGAATATCATAACTTTATACACAGTAAAACTCATAATAATTTCTTCTAAGAACAGAAAAATCAGCATCAGAAAGAAAAGATGAAAAGAAAAAGACTTACAATCTTAACACTATTGAAGAGAGAAGTGATTCTCTGATATAAATAAATAATTTTCTTATCACAAATATTTAAAATAAATGTAATAATCAGCATTTACAACTGAGCTTCAGATAGTTATGTTATACACAGTCTTTATATAATAAATTATTCTAGAAGTCAGCAGAAAGAGTGAGAGTATACATGCTGATAAATATAATTTATTAAGTCTATACAACATCTTCTTGAAACAGAGAGAGCTGATAATAAAAGCAGAGATGATAAAATCAGAGAAAGCAGAAGTAGCAGAAGTGAAGATCACAGAAACAGAGATAGTAGAAGTGAGAGAATCAGACACAGAGACAGATATAGAAGATTAAAAGATAGTAGTAGAAGAGACAGAAGAGAATATAAAAGACTCAGTTATATATAATATAGATAATTTCTTTATTATCACATTCTTCAGATTCTCAATTAATGATTCAACATTGAGTTCACTATTATTAGTAAATATAAATCTATCAATATATAAAGATTCTATATAAATAAAAACAAATATCAGCATCTGCATTTATATAAAATCATGCTAGAAAACACAATCAGAAACTCACTGAGAAGAAAACAGTCAAGAGTATATAAGAAGATGAAGAAGATATATTATTTATAATAGTACATTCTGATAATTATTAGAAGATAAACAAGTTCTGATCATATTTCACAATGTATTACACTTACTGTTAACAAACTGTCTGATATAAGCACTATAAGAACACTTGTTATAAGAATAAGAGATCATCACTAGAAATGTGTACAATGTAATAGATAAACAGATAGAAGATGTTGAATAGAAGAAGAAACAGTAATCTGAAATGAGATGATGATAGCATTCAATGATAATAATGATGAAGAAGATGATTGAAGAATGAGAAAAGTTAGTGAAAGAGTGATGTAATATAGTGAAAGTTTCTTTGTAAGAGTGTATGCAGGACACTAGCTGAATCAGGAATAGATCACACAATCATGAAATACTAGTGATGAGCTAATCCGCATGAAGCTAGGGTGTACAACATGATCACATGGGCGTGACTGAATCTGGTGGGGGAGGATGTGGTTCGGAAGAACATACAACTGTCGGATAATAACGCGGCCGCTTCCAAACTACTAGCTTATGAGTGTAAAGGGGCCATAGCGGCCGCTAATTAATTTAGCGTACGATATTACAATATATAAGAAGCCGGCGTACGCCTGTAATCGTACGCTGGCTTAAGCAACCTTTGAATCACAACTGTGTAGAAAAAACTGAAAAAAAAAACATCCTCCTGCTGTGTGAGTGCGTCCTCCATTCGTGCGGAAGCAACCCGTCTCGGATTTAGGTGCAAAAGTAGAGGTAGGAATGATTCAAGCGGCCTTCAGCAACATCCATCTCCTAGAATCCGTAAGTAAGTCGGGTATATCCATAGTGACAGTTCCCAGGTAAGTGGGACCTACAAGTAGACGCCCAAGGTCCTGCACAATCTGCACATCCTCCCGGAGCCATTCTTGCTGCTCAGCTGTTATGGTGTTGTTGTCATATGTCCTGGCCCGATTGAAATCCAGCAGTACCACCCTTTCTCCAGGAGTGACCATGAAATTTCTAGCTTTCAGATCATTATGCATGACCAGTGCAGCAGTAATAGCTTTGATGGCCTGGACAAATTTAGCCATACAATCTTTGGAAAAGGTGTCAAGATGCAATTGACGCATGTTGGGAATATATTCGATAAATATTGCACTTGGGAGCTCTGTGTCATTTATAAACATATTTAGATTTGGCTGCCAAAATTCGGGTTCAAGCTTTTCCATGCTTCCATAGAATTGAGGCACATAGCCCTTTTCAGTCACGCCATGCACCTGGAGTCGTCGGTAGGCAGTGGCTTCACGTTCATGGATACGCCCATGTCCGGGGTCATGGTGCTATTTGCCGGCTCTCGGTCAGCTCTATTTGATATCATCTATCAAGATAGATAGTGCTCACCACTTTCATAACGCATTCAAATCCCCGAACTGATACAAAGAAGACCGCGGCGGAGTCGTTGCGGTGCAGCTCCTGATGGAAAACCACTTGCCGCGGACGAACGTTGTTGATTTTCATTATGTGTGGACGAGTGAGATGAATGGTGTATAAGGTCTGCTGCTTCTTTGTTGACGGTCGTAGCTCCATTTTAAGAGTGCTTGTCCACCCGTTTGTACGGCGGACTATTCACAACAGGAATGCAGAATCTAGGCAGAATCCTTGTGATACCATTCGCGCCTTGCGTTGCTCCATCCATGCTTTGTTGCCTGCCGTGGCTTCAACCGGAGAATGGGCTCCTATCACCGCCATTGGCTATAGAGGCATGACTCACACTTTCGAGCATGACAGCGAACCAACCCAACGGATAGATGGAGACACTGGCACTCGCTGCATCCATTATCACCTCTTAGGCGTATTCCGCCTTTCGCAGAGAACAATGCCAAACCCCCCTGATCTGGATCCGTGTGATGCCTTTCTTGTATATAAGTGCACCCGCTGTCTTCGTCTTCGTTAACGGAGGGCAAACCGTAGCTTGATACTCCATCACTCCATTTAGGATATACACTTCTCATCTAGGGTTTCGAGAAACGTCTTCAGTTGACTGTCGTTTCCCGGATGGCCAACGCAGTTACTCTTGCTGCTTTCTTGCAGAATGGCCCTCCACATGTGCGGATCAACGCCCCGCCCAATCCTGGTCCAAATACGACAAATACTGACTACAGCTGGGAAGATATTCACTCTCTAAATGCCTGGCCAGAGTTTACTCTACAGCATATTACGAACCGCTATCACCAGCTGCTTGACACTACCTCCCTTCCAAGTGAGCCAATAACATCGCCGGGTCCGATTGTCAGTTCAGAGAATCAACTCAGAGCCCTTATTGTGACACAATTCAAAAACTGAATCAGACATGCTCTACGGGCGACATTTGACCAGCTCGGAAACCAACCTCAAGGCCCCCAAGGGCTCACGAGAGTATCATACAATGAAGGTGAAGACACCAGGATCCTCGACAGCTACAAGCCCGATGCAGCATTCTTTGATGAGATAATGCCCGCTACAACGAGTTGGAATCGCGCACCTGGTGAGGTGAAGCCATCATGGAAATGGGCTAGCAATTTGCGAAATAGCCCGCTGCCAGCAGGCCGTTGAGAATTTCGCCAGGCTCTCTCACAGCTCAATTTTTATATGAACCAACATCATGCCCGGTATGGTTACATTATTATGGACCTGGAGTTAGTCCCTGTAAGACGCCGAGATGATGATGACAATCTTGATCTTGCTCAACCAATTCCGTGGAACGCACGGGGAAGCCCCGGAAACGAGCAGCTAACGGTCATGCTCGTGCTTTGGTATCTGGGCATGCTGGCTGCGCAGAATAATGGCCCCGGGAGCTGGAATATCTGAGAAGCTAGTCATAGTATGCGCGTCAATATTGCTGGCGTCGGATGGTGGAAATTTGCTTGGGCTGTGTACAATGTTGAGGTTTAATGTCGCTGTTCTTAACAGGTCTGTTGCTTTCAGAAGAGCTGCCCTTGCCAAGTCTGTTTCATAGCTGAGTAGTTTCTAATACAGATTATGACCAGCGTAACATCATTGCGCTAGTCTAGATAGTTCCACCAACGATGATTCCTTGCCTAGCGCAGCGTATGGGCTCTGAGAGAAACTTACCTCCGCTCTTTGTAGCCGCCACAGTAGCACCATTGGCGGATGAATACATATGGCTGCTTCTGCAAGTAGCTCTCCGTGTTTCATGCCTGCAGTGGTGTGGTCTCGACACGATTAATATAGCTAGCTTATTCGCGTCGTCTCTTTTCAACTACTACAATACAATGCCTTTGTAAAATAGGGAGATTCTTACAGCTTGGTAGAATTTGCCACTCAGCATCCGGAATTTCTAATTTTCCGGGCGCAGTAAAATATCATCCTTACCGGAAAAACGTAGGCTTATTATACAACCGGGTTATGGTTGTTCCGCCGTGCCAGTCACTGACACCGTCGCCGAACTGTAAAACTTAATATAATGATGAATTAGCTGTGAAATCACTGTAAATGAGTTATGAACAGAATAAAATCATCATTATATTAATAATATTGCTGATTTCTATCTATATAATTACTAATTCTAAAAAACATCTCATTCACTGAAATTATTCTCTATTAGAAATCTATTATATGATATAGAGATATAATTTATATCTCTCTATAATTTCTTCTGAATTCTTCAAATTATCTCTATATCATTGTCATCATTTTCTGTCATATTCATATTAACATTTATTTCAGAGAACTTGTAAATTAATATTAAAGTTTATGAAGAGTAAGTATCAATAATTATTCACTATTTAAAAAAGAGAATTTTAGAGAGATTAAAAGCTGTGTATTTATTTATCTATATTATTATCAACTTCTGTATAAATCTGAAAATCATTTCACTGATTCTAACTTACTTTTTCACTGAGAATGTCAAGAGTTTCAGTACTACTTATAGTCAGAGAATCAACTGAAGTCAGAATATCAGAGAAGAAAGAAGAAAGAGAATTAATAGCAGCAGTAGAGATATTAATGAAGAGAGTGAGAAGAGAATTATTATTATTATTAAATTTCTTATCAATACTACTACTATTACTAACTGTAACTGAATTCTTATCAAGATAATCTGTAAGTCTCTAAATATACTTCATTATTTCATATATTTCAATAATAATATAGCTAGCTTCAGTATTGATATTATTTATTAAATTTATAAGATTCTTTATCACTAATTTTTATTCTTTAATATAACTGACTATCATTCTTAAAAGCTTATAATACACTTCAAGCTTCATAGTTTTAATATTAAGTTATATCTTTTTAATCATGATTTTCTTCTTTTCTGCAGTAACTTTTTTCTTTTCAATTTCTAATTTCATTCTTTCAATATTTAACTTAATCTTCTTAATCTCAATTTTAGCTTTTTTAGTGATACTAATAATAATATTCAGAGCTTTCAAAGTAATAGTAATACTTTTTATATATTAAGCTTTCACTTTCTATTAATGAGTTTTAACTTTCTTAATCTATTTTAAAAGATTCTTTATCAATTTTAATATAGCTCTCTTTATTATTTTCTTAAAATTATCTGATATAGAAAGATAAAAGTCATGAATTTAGATTAGATTATTAACTTATTCTTTTAATTCTTTAAGAATAATTATACATCTCTTTTTCTCATAATTATAATTTATATAAGACTTTAAGCTTCTCTTCATCTTATTACAAGCAGCATTTAAATAACAGAAAAAAATATACTTAATACAGTACTTATATATTGTTCATTTATCAGACTGCTTTGTCAGAGTATTCAGACAGCTACTTATCTTTTTCTTCTAAGCTTTTACAGCAGTGATACAGATACACTTAACTGTGTTATCAGTTATTTTTACTGTTACTGCTGCTATTGTTGCTGATATTACTAATATTAATATAATAAGTGAATTACTGATGTTCTTGATATACTGTGAATAAGATATCTTTGAAATTAGAACTTTTCTTATTAAAAGTTTTCTATTATAACTGATAGAATACTAATCTTACTGAAGATGAGAGAGAGCAGAGTGAGCTGAAAATAATCTTCATAGTATGATATAATTATGAGAAGAAGAAAGAAAGAAAGAAATAAAAAGAAGATAATAAATTATTCTCTCTATATATATTATTGATTCACCTTTGTAGATTACTATATAGTAAATATGAATACTTTTATTTCACTCATATAATTAGTATATCTGATTGATTTCATCTATATTTTATTTTCAGAATAAATACTCTCTGTGCAGACTATCACTGAATAAATTACAGCTATTTTAAATATAAAATCATTTCTATTAACTAGAAACATGTATTTAATATACTGTCAGAAATATATCTACAGAATTCAAGATTTATAGAAAGATTTCTCAGTGCAGTAAAATCAGTGAATTCTTCACAGTCATGACTATACAAATTAAAAGATAGAGAATATTGTAACTTTCTTCAGTGAATATCAAGACAAGTATATTCTAATTATATATATTAAAGTATATATTAATTAATTTATATATAAAACTCATGAAAAATTAAATATATTGAATAGAAATAGATTGTGTTGAAAATCTCTATACTAATCTGTCTTTCATTAAAAGTGTCTCTAAAAATTTAATCTTTTTCTGCATCTTCTCTTATACATCTTTCATCAGATATCTCTTTTTCACTATCAGAGTATTCTAAATTATCTCAGTAAAGTTATCTCTGATAATTTACTGATATTCAGAAATATCACTTATAAGATCTCAGAATATTAGAATATTTTATTATTATAGTATAGCTGCAGCAGAATTTTCATTTATATCAGTATTATCAAATATTTTAACCTGAGTTATGAGATTTGTATATATCTCTATTTTTCAGAATCAGTTTCTAGTTTTTCAATTCAAACTTTTTAATTCAATATCTTTAACTAATAAATATTCAACTTACATTTCATATATTATTATTCTCACTCAGAGAATTAATCAAAGTCAATAACTTCTCACACTCAGTAAAAAACCAGAAAGAACTTTTCAGTGATAAATAAATCACAGAAGTATTTAAAGATAATTAATTCTTCATAGCAGTTATATAATTTAATTACTACTGAACTTTCTCTGCTCTTTATCTTTTTTCATTGAATATGATTCTATATTAATATATAATTAGCTAAGTTAATCAGAAAAGTTTAGATTTCTCTGAAATATTGTGATTCAAAGATTGCTTGAGCCAGCGTATAATTACAGGCGTACGCTGGCTTCTTATATATTGTACACTAAATTAATTAGTGGCCGCTATGGCTCTCTTACATTCATAAGCAAGTTTGAAAGTGACTGTGTTATTATCTGACAGTCACACATTCTTCTGAATCACACTGATAATTGTATATTCTTTCAAATCACATTCTTCTTCATCAGATTCAGTCACACTTATATAATTATAACATCTGTTCTAGCTTTATGCAGATTAGTGTGTTACTAGTGTTTATAATCTTATAATCTATTTCTGATTCAGCTAGTGTCTCATGTACATTCTTATAAAGAAACTTTCACTATATTATATCACTTATTCACTAACTTTTTCTATTCTTCAATCATCTTCTTCATCATCATCATTATTGAATATTACTATCTTATTCAAGATTTCTATCTCTTCTTCTATTTAACTCTTTTTATCTGTTTATCTATCACATTATACACATTTCTGATGATAACTCTCTATTCTTATAATAAGTGTTCTTGTAGTGCTCATACTGAGTAGTTTGTTAGCAGTAAGTGTAATGCATTATGAAATGTAATCAGAACTTATTTATCTTCTAACAATTGTCAGAATATACTACTATGAATAATACATCTTCTTCATCTTCTCATACACTCTTGACTGTTTTCTTCTCAGTGAGTTTCTGATTGTGTTTTCTGACATGATTTTATATAAATGCAGATGCTGATATGTTTGTTTTTATTTATATAGAATCTTCATGTGTTGACAGATCTGTGTCTGCTAATGATAGTGAACTCAATATTGAATCATTGATTAAGAACTTGAAGAACATAATAATAAAGAAATTGCTCATGTCATGTGTGACTGAGTCTTCTGTATTCTTTCTCACTCTCTCTGTTTCTTTCTCTGCTGCTTTCTCTCAATCTTCTATATCTGTTTCTGTGTCTGATTCTCCTGCTTCTGCTATCTCTGTTCCCGTGATCCTCACTTCTGCTACTTCTGGTTTTGCTGTCTCTGCTTTCATTATCAGCTCTTCTCATTTCAAGAAGATATTGCATAGACTTAATGAACTATGTTTATCAGTATGTATACTTTCATCTTTCTTATCAACTTCTAGAATGATTTATTGTATAAAGACTGTATATAATATAACTATCTAAAGCTCAGTTGTGAATACTAATTATTATGTTTATTTTAAATATTTATGATAAAATAATTATTTATTTATATTAGAGAATCACTTCTCTTCTTAACAGTGTTAAGATTATAAGTCTTTTTCTTTTCATCTTTTCTTTCTGACACTGATTTTTCTGTTCTTAGAAGAAATTGTTATGAGTTTTACTATGTATAAAGTTATGATATTCACAGATATTAAGAAACTTTTCATAACTGTTAAATTTAATATTACAGGTACATCTGCTCTGATGAATATCTTTGAAATAATTAACTTATATCAGTCTATTCTTTGATATTTATCATCTGACTTCATGATGCAGGTGAAGAATATCTGTGTTTTCAGAAATTAGAATATAAATATTGTGCTTTTTTACATCTATGAGCATGAGACTTGTATATCTTATCTGAAATGTTATTATGAGAATGAGCTATTCACACACTGTGTTCTGCTTTCTACATTTCTC